GCGGGGAGATCGATACTACTTCTTTTAGGCGCGACGGAAATATAAAGCTTATTTTCAAAGCCAGTGAAAACTAGAAAGGAAGAAAAGAAAATAGAAAGGCTGGGATATAGAAACTCTTCGGGAAGAGGCAATTTATCGACACTGTGGAGAGAGCGGTGATGCAGAATTCCTTTAGAAAAGTGGCTTCAGGCGCCCTTTTATGTGACACAATAAATACATAAATAAATGGCAGTAGCTACAAGGAGCAGCAGCCTGCCCTCCGGCCGCTTTGATTTTGCCCGGAGCGGGCTGGCCCTGAGCGCACCCCTGGGCTCCGTGTCGCGCCTCCTGCCCCGCAGGGCGGGCGCTCCCGGCAGCCGAGCCGAGCCCGCCCGGCGGTGCGGGACAGCTGCCTGCTCTCATGAGGACTTCAGAAACCTTTCGGCCCCGTCCCGTACCACCCTCCGCGTTTCCCCGCCGTGCTCCCGACTTTGCCCAGGGGCACCCCCGCAGGACAGTCTCGGTGTTGGTGGCCCTGGCTGCCCCGTACCCGCGTGCTCCCAGCGTGGCGGTGGGCGACCCGTGGGTTGGGGTGGAAATAGAAGGAGAGCGGCCTGCGAGCCACTGACCCCCGCCCGAGCCGCTCCGGGGAGCCGCAGCGAGGCGGGGCTGCCTCTCGGGTGCCGCTGGTGCCGCAGCAGTCCGGGCTGTCTGGGAGCGGCGGCCGGGAGCGGGGCGCGCCGAGGCGGACAGCCCTTACTCTCCTCACGCTTCCAGTTGGTTGGCACGGCTCTCCTGGGCGAAGGGGGGAGACATTTCTCGTCAGGGAATTTTAGCCCTTTCCTCCCCCCCCCCCCCTTTTCTTTTTCTCCCTTCCCTTTCATTCATAAACCTGGTGGCTATAGACGCAGCTTGAATATTGACGTCTCTTCCCCCAACTGCTCCTCCGTTAACCCAATTACAGAATTCATCAAGAACTGTGTTGAATTATCTCTTTCCATACAGTATCAGCATTAGCCTAATTAAAAGCTATAATGTCTGATATAATGATTAAATCGTTAGCTCTGCTGTAGGGAAGCAATATTTTGTTTTCCCTTCAATTAGAAGCTGATTGAGGTTTTCAGAGCAGGTCAGCTGTGAAATTTGAATTATATGTGTGAGTACCGTTCACAGGGTGAGCCCCTACTCGAAAGCTCCAGAGATTCTCCATACGCTTTTACCCAGCAAGCTGAGAAAAGACAACAAAACACAGAGAGAGCCTGTAGCTGATTTAGGACTGATGCTGTAGGATGGCACAGAACAGTTGTTAACGCTGCAAAAGAAAGCGGGACTTTATTCAGGCACCCTTTTTCCAACCATTCCATCTCGACTGGGTAGCAAGCAGGTCACATTGAAAGCTGTGATCCCCGAGTCGCCAAGTCACCGAGGCAGGAAAATGCTTCCTGTCTCTCCTTTGCCTGCCCTTTCTGCTCCCTCCCGGTTCGCTCGCTTTAGCCCAGTAATGGCACCCCTGTAGCGAGGGAGTGTTTTGCATTTCCTTCTGGATAGCGGGTTTTGGAGTGAAGTGCCAGAGGAGCTGCAAGCGATCCCACTCCCTCCCCGCCTCACGTTTCAGACAGGGCTGGCGAGGGATCAGGCATCGCCTCGGCGCGGGCTGGCGCTCGCCGGCCCCGACGCAGGCCGAGGGCAAGGGAGGCACGGCGGCAGCCAGCAGACGGCGATCGCCGCCTGCTCCGGGGCGCCGGGCTCGGCCCCGCCGCCCGCTGCCCGCTCCGCTCTGCGCGGGCACAGCGGGGGCACAGAGAGGGCACAGCGGGGGCACAGCGGGGGCACAGCGGGGGCACAGCGGGCACAGCGCCAGCCGGGCCCGAGGCCGGGACCCCCGCCCCGAGGGGCGCCCCCCAGGCACAGCGGGTGCGGGAGAGGCACAGCCCGCCCAGGCGGTCCCACCTGGCAGAGCGGAGGCGGGGGGCAGCCGTGCCCGGGGGAAGCACTCGTCACTGCCACCGGCCTGCGAGAAGCCCTCGCCGGTAGCTGTCCCCTCCGCGGGCCCGGCGGGCGACAGAGGCCGCGGCCAGACCTGGTCCTGCTCCCAGTGCGCGACCTCCTCTCCGCCTCCCCTCTGACTTCCCTGCAGCGTTTACCCCACACTCCCGGCCGCCCCCACCTATTCCCTCCACCGCCCGACTCCTGATTCTTGGCAACCCCACTTTCTGCAGGGGAAAGTCCAAGGACCTCTCATCTCCAGGCGCAGCCCCGGCCTGCACTACCCCAGCCCCGCAGCCCTGTCAAACGACACTCGCCAACGTGCTTGACCTCGTTCCCAGTTCCGTGAATCGGGATCTGCGCTACCTTTACCACGGAAGAAAAGCCCCTGGCTGCCCCCTCGAACTGGCTTTTACACCTTCCTCCCGCCCATTCAGTCGATAGACACCTGCTGGCAGCAGGTGAGCGGGGTGCGCCCGGGCCAGAGGCACTCAGGCAGCGGCACATCCTCGCTTCTGCTCCCTGCCCGCGTTCCTCCCCGCTACCGTGTTCGTGGTAGTTCGGCTGCTTCTAGGGGCATCCTATATTTATTTGCCGGGGGTCAGGGGAAAGGGCGTAAACCCCACACCGGGAAAAAGTCCAGGAGAGGACAGGCCCCGGGAGGGTGTGGATTAGCAGCTGCCTCTGCACCAGGGAAGGGAAAGTTCTGCCTCCTCCCTGAAGGTGAGGGGGAGGGAAGCTGGTGTGCATCCCCAATTCCCAGGGATAAGGGTGTGTTCCCACAGGATCCACTGGCTGGCAGGATGCATAGGACTCACCCGGAAAAGACTGCCCCACAGCGATTCGACCCATTTATTTGTCAAGGAGGCCTTTAGGTGCCTTTCTATCAAATTTCAGGGAAAAATACCACTAGGGCCTTGGGTAGATAATTTGCAAGCCATGCCATCGTATCTCGCAGTTTTTACTCCTCATACCTTCATTTGTCCATCCAAGTGGAAATGTGCCTTTCTGCAGTAACCTTCTCCCCCCTCTTCCTCCCCTCCTATCCCAACCAGTTGTAGTTTTAATACATAATTTAGCAATCACAAGGGGCTCCCTTGTTTTGCCATGGTAAATACGGCAACTTAAGAAACTATCAGCTGGAGGAGCGCGGGTCAGCTCCTGCACAATCTCCCCTGCCCCCTTAGGGCTGACTGGGAGAGAATAATGTCCTCCCAAAAGCATCGGCACCCGAGTTAACAGCATCACTCAGATTGAGCTCAAAGGCTGGAAGCAGGCTGAGCCTTCGGCCGTCAGAAGTGGAGAGGCACTCTCCTCTCCCCAGCAAACCCATATTATCATAACGAGTCATTGGAAATGAGAAAAAAAAAAAAAAGTCTAATCCTAGCCCAATGCCTAGGACCGGTGCTTTGTGCACGGTGCATACTCTTCCTGCAGAAAACTTCTGGTGGTAATAACAGTAATTGGGGGAGTTGCAGCGTGATTCCAGCCTTGGATGGCCACTAGGGTCAGGAAAATTAACACGGACCATGAAAAGAGCAGGCACGCTGTGTGTGCCTTTCTCCACCTGGCAGAAGATGATGGGGGCGGCCCTTTATACATGCGTGGGCATTTGTGCGACGGACTTGCCATTCCTATGGCTGCAATTAAAGACTGCAACATGAATTTCCACGTGGACTATTTTCTCCTCCCTATAAAAATAACTATAATCTCACAGGACAGCCAGGGCACAAAGGTATTCTTTTAATGTTTTCAAGGGGAAAAAAAATCATACACCTGTACTTACTATATACAAAGATAACATGTTTCCGTGTACCTTCTTTAGTCGCAGGTGCTTTTAACTCCCCTAGGACTAAGTGAAAAACGACTGCGTCCAGCCTCTTCTGCATGCCTGGGCCTGGTAGCAGTTTTAACACCTGGGAGAGACGTCTGAGGGGGCTCCGGAGAAATCTCCAGAACGAAGTCCCGCAATAAAGCATGTTTACCTGCCGCTCGCACGGCTGCGGGAGCGGGGCGGAGAGCCTGGGCGCCTCAGCCCCACTAAACGTTGCTCGACGGTCGTCTCAGTGAGCGGGGCCGGGGCGGCCCGCGGCTCCAGGGCTCCCTGCGGCGGTGCCCGGCGGGGCTGAGGGGCGGCCGGGCCTGAGGGGTGTCCCCGCCCCGGGGGCGCCCTCAGGGGCCGCGGCCGCCCCTCCCGCCCGCGCCGAACGCGGCGCGCCCCGCCGCACGTCACCGCTCGGCGCGCGCCATATGCAAATGAGCTCCCGCCGGCGCGCCCCCATTGGCCGCCGTCAGGCGATTTAAGGCGGGCTCGGCGCGCGCCGTATGGCTGCGGCGCCGCTCGCCCGCGCGCCCGGCGGCTCCTCCTCCCGAGGCGGCCCCGTCCCGGCCCTGCCCGGCCCGTCCCGCCCGGGCCGCGGGAGGGAGACCACCGCCAGCAAATTACTGTGCCGCCGGCCCCGGCCGCCGGGCTCGGCGCGTGTTTTGGTTGGGCTCCTTCCCCCACCCCCTCCCTCCCCCGATCCTCCTCCTGCATTTTTTTTTTTTTTCAGTTAACGTTGAAATACTTTTTTTTTTTTTTTTTCCGCCTCCTTTTCGCGTGGCGGTGGGTTCTCCTCTCCTCTTCTCCGTTCACCTGCGATCAGCGGATGCAAGTCACACACGCTCCCTCCCCTCCCTCCCTCTCTCTCTCCAAGTTAGCAGCAAAGAACAAAAAAAAAATAGCTCCGTTAAGGATAAGAGCGGGAGCGGAGGGGTGTGCGCGCGTCTGCCGGGGAGCGCCGGCGAGCGGAGGACACCGCCGACGGCTCCGCACACTCCTCCCGCCGCGCCAAGTGAAGCAGCAAGTTTGCCGTGCACCTGTTTGAGCAGCTCGAACCCCCGTCGCCGCCGAGCCCCGAGAGTGATTTGCGAAAGGGAGAAAGTTTTTTCGCCGGCAGGGTCGCCGATCGCTCTCCTCGCGGTTTTCTTCTCCTCCTCTTTTTTTTTTTTTTTTTTTTTTTCTCTTTTTTTTTTTTTTTTTTCTGCCGCACGGCGGTCGCTACCTAGATACAAACGGGTTTCGCCTCGCTCGCTCCCCGGCCTCCCGGGCTCCTCTATGTTTGATTCATTTTTCACGTCTGGCACCGGTGGAAAATAAAAAAGCTATTTGAATGTACAGCATGATGATGGAGACGGACTTGCACTCCCCTGGCGGAGCCCAGGCCCCCACGAACCTCTCGGGGCAGACCGGAGCGGGAGGCGGCGGAGGCGGTGGCGGCGGCGGGGGAAACAAAGCGAACCAGGACCGGGTCAAGAGACCCATGAACGCCTTCATGGTGTGGTCGCGGGGCCAGCGACGGAAGATGGCCCAGGAGAACCCCAAAATGCACAACTCGGAGATCAGCAAGCGCCTGGGGGCCGAGTGGAAAGTCATGTCGGAGGCCGAGAAGAGACCGTTCATCGACGAGGCGAAGCGGCTGCGAGCGCTGCACATGAAGGAGCACCCGGATTATAAATACCGGCCCCGGCGGAAGACCAAGACCCTGCTCAAGAAGGACAAGTACTCTCTGGCCGGGGGGCTGTTGAGCGCCGGCTCGGCCGGGGGAGGCCCGGCCGGCGTCGGCGTGGGCATGGGCGTCGGCGTCAGCCCGGGCGGCGTCGGGCAGCGGCTGGAGAGCCCCGGCGGCACGGCCAGCGGCGGCTACGCGCACATGAACGGCTGGGCCAACGGCGCCTACCCGGGCTCGGTGGCGGCGGCGGCGGCGGCGGCGGCGATGATGCAGGAGGCGCAGCTCGCCTACAGCCAGCACCCGGGCAGCGGGGGGCACCCGCACCACCCGCACCCCCATCACCCGCACCACCCGCACAACCCGCAGCCCATGCACCGCTACGACATGGGTGCCCTGCAGTACAGCCCCATCTCCAACTCGCAGGGCTACATGAGCGCCTCGCCCTCGGGCTACGGCGCCCTGCCCTACGGCTCCCAGCCCCACCAGAACTCGGCGGCGGCGGCAGCGGCAGCGGCGGCGGCGGCGGCCGCCTCCTCGGGTGCGCTGGGCGCCCTGGGCTCGCTGGTGAAGTCGGAGCCCAGCGTGAGCCCGCCCGTCACCTCTCACTCGCGGGCCCCGTGCCCCGGGGACCTGCGGGAGATGATCAGCATGTACTTACCGGCCGGGGAAGGCGGGGATCCGGCGGCCGCTGCCGCCCAGAGCCGGCTCCACTCCCTGCCCCAGCACTACCAGAGCGCCAGCACGGGGGTGAACGGCACCGTTCCCTTGACGCATATCTGAGCCCCTGCCAGCACCGGAGCGCCGGAGGGAGGCACGGACGCGGGCACCGGCTCGGCCCCCGGCCCCGGCCCCGGGCCGGCCTGCAGGACTGCGCGCCCGCCGCTGCCACCGCACGCTCAGCCCCGGCCGCCCGCCCGCGCCCCGGCCCCGCGCCGCTCCTGCCCCGCTCCCAGGTTCCCCCCTCTTATTTTTGCCTCTCGCGCCCCTTCCCTCCCGCCCTCCCCCGCCTCTCTTTTTTTTTTTCTTTCTTCCTTCCTTTTTGTACAGAAATGTTTTGATGTTCTTGTAATAATAATAATAAATAATAATAATAATAACGAGAGAGAAAAAAGGTAACGGTTGCTTTACTTACCTTTTTTTAGAAGAACTAGTTTATGAAACTAGTTTTAGACTGAACTCCTGTGTTTTATCGAGACTTTTTGTACAGTATTTATCATTCACCCGAGAGACATAGAACGTTTATTTGCAAGAGAGGAGAAAGAAAGAGAGAAAGGGGGGAAACGGCGGCGAAAAGAAAAAAATACCAATAATAAAGACACAAAGTTGTAGGTGATGCCAACTTTTATACCGCGCGGAACCGCTACGATTTCAGTCACGGATCGCTTCTTGCGAAGATTTTTTATTGACTAATTAACTCGAAGTTGATGAGGAAACAGTTCTCATTTATTACTCATGTACTAAGGCAAATCCAAAAGAACACTTAAAAGTTTTTTTTTAGATATTCTCGAGGGTTTTTTGGGCTGGGGTTGGGCTTTTTTTTCGTTACTTGTTTGTTTATTTATAAAACTTTTTTTTGTTTTGTTTTGGAAGCTCCATTTTTTTTTCCCCGGGGTTCGTTAAACTTTATTGTATCTGAATATTTTTGTTTGTTTTCTCTTTGATTTTGTTTTCTTTTTGTATCATTTCTTGTAAATGCATTGTGAAATAATTTTTATTTAGGCTGTACGAAGGAAATCAGATTGTGTATATAGTTTACTAAAAAGCCTTTCTGCTAAATGGAAATCCTAAGGATGCGGTCCTTTTTTTTTTTTTTCTGTTTTGATTAAATAAATTTCAAAGCGGAAAAAGTCACCTGTATAAAAAGAAAAGCTAACTGGCGAACATAGTGGTGTTTACCATGGTAAACCTGGAAACACAGCAGGGAAACCTAGATTTTGGGAAGGAAGTTTTAAGCAGCAGCGGCAAAGAGAATGAAGTGCAATCTGCAGTAAATGTCGATGTTCCCTAACCTGTGTAAATCAGAAGGGGTGAAGGTAGATTTATTTTAATACTCGTTCCCTACTGCAAGGGAAGGCAGTTTACTGCGTTACTGTTCTAGCCGTGAACGTTCATTTTGTGGGTTTTATGGCTGGGCTGGTGGTCCGGACCTTGCCGGAGCCTTGACTTTTCCCCTGGGGGGTGATCGGGCGCTGCCCGCCCCTCCCGCCTCGGGCCCCCACTCGGCCGGGAGTCCCGGGGGACACCCAGCTCCCCGGGAAACGGGAGGGCACCGTCCAGCGCGGCACTTCCCCTCTAATTAACACCACGGAAAGTGAAAGCGCTTCTTTCTGCGCGTCCCGAAAAGAAAAGCGACCTCTAAACCTCCCGCCCGAAAAGCAGCCCCATCCACCCGGAGCGTTCCGGGGGGCGAGCGGGGAGCGGCGGGGTCACACCTTTCTCCCCCTTCCCCATCCCCCCGCCCCCCATTTTTAGCGACTGGTGCGAAAGCTGTCGAGCAAAACGATGCGTGTCATTTCATTACAGAATGCTGTTTAATGCTTTGAGACCTAATTTAAATTTTTTTTTCTAGCTGTTAAGAGATACTTTTCTATATGTTAGAATTAAAAGTTTGCTGTAAACTACTGTAGCAAATGAATTTTTAAAATAGTCATAGCTACTTAAACAAAAGGAAAAATAATTAACTTCCAGGACTTCAAAGTCGATCCCAACAGGCTGTAGGACTGTTCGTCTTTTAGCTCTGGTGAATGAGTACTGCATCCGTCCAGGAGTGGGGAAGTTTTAGTTAGCTAATGAGGAGCGGGTTTGGTCCGTCTTAGACATTGCACTTCTATAATGCGGACATGTCAATTGACATACATAACTCTTCGGACTCCTGTCGATGATTTTGTATAAATCACTCATGCTGAACGCAAAATTTTCATAGAAGCTGTCCACTGATTTCAGCCCCAACTTTTTTTTTCTTTTCTTTTCTTAACTATTCGAGCCTTTATTAAAATGGAGGAGTGTGCGGGTTCAGGCAGTCAGCAGACGACTTTTGGAAATGCTCAGCGACCAAAGAGTGCATACAGAAAGCAGGAAAGGAACCTGTGGGAAACTTTCTGCGGTGTTGATCACCTCCAGCCAAGCACAGTCTTAGATGAAATCTTAAAAATAGCTGAACCTTTAGGTATGCAGATTAAGCTGGGTACCTGTTGAACTGTTTCTTGTTGTCCTTCATGTGCATATACTCGGAAAGATCTGTACACACCATAGATAGCGTCGTGACCAAGAGAAGTGTGTGTGTGTGTGTGACGTGCACATGCAGACACATACACGTCTGATGCACCCTTGTTACGTGCCTTTTTCTTTAAGGGTCATAGCTACTGAAAATCACATTTAATGACAATGTAGAATAGAAAAATCCCAGCGAGACGATCCTATATCGCTGACTACGACTGATGGAACAGGATTGGAGCGGTCAAGGGAGAAAAGCAAACAAACATCTGTTCATTTGCGTCCAAACAGCAGAAATACTGTGGGGAAGTGCTTTTTTTAAAAAAGGAAAAAAAAATATAGCTCTCTTAAATTAGCTTCTTTTAATGAGTTTTCCCTCCTACCATCACAATTTAGCGGTTCAATGGCGTTATGCCTAGAATAATAGGAATACCTGCACTTTCAACACAAGGGGATTAAAGAGACCCAATGTCGGCTATATTTAAATAAGATTCAAACACCCTCAGCCCGTCTTTCAATGTAATGCAGTTCGCTCTGCAAATGTCCAAACCCCCCGCCCCCCAAAAAAAACCAAAACAAAAAACCAAACCTTCACAAAAAAAACCAAAACAAAACAAACAAAAGAAAAAGAAAACAAAAAAAGCCGAGGAACCAAAAAAAAAAAAAAAAAAAAAGCCAAAAAAACCCCCATCTCCACGAAATACCAAAAAACTACCTACCCATCTTACCCCCACTGACCCACTGAGACACCATCGGGGTGTCAAGAATTTTTTTGCTGTTCGTGGTCTATTGGTTGATTTGGCAGTTCGGTTTAATTTGAGTTAAACTTACTTGTTTGGGTATTTAAACAAAACAACTTTCCTAGGCAGATGAGTTGGGGTTAGGTACAGTAACATAATTATATCTTCGGGCTTTTTGCTATGAGAGTTATATATAAGAGAATAATTGAATATGCAAAACTAAGAATAGGTTTAAGCAATTTATGGTTTAAGTACATTACATCTAAAATTGTATGAAATGTTCCTCCTATAGCATGATTGACAGAGCTATTAAAATCACGTATGTGGAAGAATTAAAGCAAAAAGTCATCTGGTTTTCAGTAAAAGGAAGGAAAATCCAGGGAGTAAGGCGGATGGGAGCGGGGCCGAGGTGCCCTCTCCGCGCAGTTCGGCTGCGTGTAGCGTGGGGAGCTTGGGGTCACGGCCCCCCCGGGCCAGAGCCCACCCCGCGGTCACCGCTCTCCTGTGCCCCGGGAGGGGGACGGCGGCAGAGGGGCCAGGAGGACAGGAGGCACTCAGAGATAACAGGTTCGATCCGCTCCGAACTTCGAGCCAAAACCCAAACTTGGCCTGAACTCCATAGCTCTTTTCCCAACGGTTCTCCTGTTTTAAAAAACATTTTCCCCCCTCCTTCCACTCCGCCGTGCGTGCCTCAGTGAGCTCGTAGGAGTGGCGTCGGGCCCCGGGGAAAAGCCGTTCCCTCCAGTTCCACTCCCCCGCGCCCTCAACCGGAGTCACATCGCAACGAGCCCCGGGGGGGAGCGTCGGTGGGACGGCTCCGAGCCTCTGGGAGCAACGGAGCGCGGGAGGAGGGCACACGAAATTGTCCATGAAGATAAAAAGAGGGACGATTCCAGAAATCAGAGCCAAGGCGCCCGTAGGGCCACAGCGGGACAAGAAGCTCTGCAAAATGCTCCTTGGTAGGGCGGGGTGGGGGGTGGGGAGGACCCTCCCTCCCAGCTGCGCCACATGCAGGCGACATCAGGCCGGGTCACCTGAACGTCTGACGCGGTTACAGCATTTTATTATTACGTGGAAACTGCCACGGAAGGAAAAAAATCTATAAAAGAAAAAAAGCACCGCAGCATCACACAGACACGCTCCCCCGCCGAAAACCAAACCAAAAGGCTGATCTAAGCATTGTTGTAAAGTAAAACGGAGCTAAAAGATGCGAACTGGCAGGTGTCTGTGGGTTTGATGGGTTATCTGGACGGGATGCTCTCCCGGGCCTGGCGCCGACGCTCTCCCACGCCCCACGATTTCCCCGCCTTTCCCGAGCACTCACCGACTCCCCCGAGCCCTTTTCTGCTCCTCCCTCCCCCTTCCCGCACACTTTCTGCCAGCTCGCCCCAGTAATCTCCAGATCTCCCCTTCCCTCCTACACAGCATCACGTGGGGAGCGCCGGGACGGGGCCGTCCCGTGGGGACAGACAGCGTCCCTGTGTCCCTGCGTCCCTGTGTCCGTGTGTCCCTGTGTCCGCGTGTCCGTGTGTCCGTGTGTCCGTGTCAGTGTGCAGAGGGCTGATCTCGCAGGGAGGGCCCTCCTTGCTCCCGGAGTCACGGGGCAGTGGGCCTGGGGGATGTTGTTGGTGAGGTGCGAGTGGGTCTCTGCGAGCCGCGGCCCCGGGCAGCGAGGTGCCCCCGATGCCGTAAGAGGGGCTGCAGATGAATGATGCAGGAGGAAAACGGGGGTGGCAGGAGGGGAGAGAGGTGAGAGAAAGGGAGGGAGAGCGTGGGGAGGAGGAGGGGGGCGGTGTTTGGAGAGCGAGGGATTAGCGAGGAGAGTCCTGACCCCGAGATCAACGGCCAGTCAAACCCGTTTACAATCACCGGCGGAAAACCGACGGCTCCCGCTGCAAGCCAGCGGCCGGCCGGGCAGCCAGCGGGAC